CCTTTTGCATTCAACTTTTTTTTTTTTCACTTTTTGTGGCTTTAGTGTTTTTTTTTCTAATCACTTAAATGGAACGGGGGGGGGCGGGCGATACCAGTAGCTGATGGTGGCAATAAACCTGTGATCTGTGGAAACATGGTGCCCCAGTGTTACAGCAATGAAGGCGATGGGAGCAGATAAGCCATTATACCAGCCTCGGCTTGTCAGCTGTATTGTGCTCTTCCTCATAAACCTATTCAGTGATTAAGCACCTGTTTGCAAAGTCAGGCTCCAGGAAAATACTCACACAGGTGTCAGACAGCCGTACAGTAACAGCCCGCTTCACAAATGCTTTTTAAATCAGTGCAGTCACGATCAGATGGAACTGACATCCTAATTTGAAGAATGTCATACGGAATGACGCGCATTTTTAACGCGGCAAATGGAAATTTCCAGGCTTGCTCATAATGAAAGAATATCCTGATTTAAAGCTGTTCCAAAAAAAACAAAAAAAAAAAACAATGGTTAATTTTCAGAGTTAGAACATTGTAATACTATGGAGTAATGCAGAGAGAATGCTCTGCAGTGTAGATGATGTTCTAGTCTCCATCTACATTAACTCATTTGATTATTTTCCCAACAAAACTTTACTTTTGAAGTGTCCATCTAACGTGAAGTTTGCATGGATAGGTGAACGCAGTTTATTTCTTTTGGCCAATCATCAGCAGGATGTGCTCCAACTGGATGTGCTCCAATCAAAACAGACTTCAACTTTAGTATGCAAATGTGTTGGAGAAGTAATTTCTGCATTTACGGCTATGTTTATTGACCTTTGATACTTGCAGATGATATGTCAAGATCAAGCACAAGCAACAAATACAGTCCAGTACAGTCCCAGACTTAGACTAAAATAGTTGCAAATGTGACAAAAATGCAAATTTGCAATAATAATTTAATATGTAGTCCCCATTGGTGACAGTCGGGAAAACTGTCATAAAGTAAGTACCCTTATGAAATGTGTCATCAATGATTACGCCAGTGTTTCCGATTCAAAATGAAGTAACTCATATGAACTAGTCCTTTTCAATGAGTCAGTCATGATTTATGAAACAGTGTTGAATCAGTGAATTGTTTACGGCTGAGCCCCTCACTGAACCGTGAGTAATTTTTTTAGATGTGCGATTTAAAATAAGAATTATATTTGAGACTCTATTTACAGATTAATAAAAAAATTAATTTAAATATAAAAGTCATTTATCAAAAATGTTTTTTTGTTTGTTTTGATAAATTAATTCTATTTTATAATATGTATACAGATAATAAAAATGTATATAGTAAATATTACATAATAAATTGAATAAACAGTGATTATGTAATTTGTCAGCTGAAAAAACATTTTTAAAAAGCCTTTTATTTTAGAATCCAGTGGCTCCCTCTTCTTATTTATTTATTTGTTTTTTGTCGGGCTCTGTAAACTTTTGTTAGTTGATTTTTTTTAGTTGAAGTTTTCGAAATCCTGACATGAAACAAAAAATGAATCTCTCATTTCCAAGCAGAAATTGAGGTTTCGTGTCAAGAGTTTGCTTACTATCTTGCCTTCGCTTTGAGCATTCACTGCGCTTGCTCTGTTTAGGTCGTAAACAGTTTCTCCTTAAAGGCGGAAGTGTTGCGTTTCAGTGATAAAGTTTATCAGCTCCTAGGGGTGTCAGAGAAGCAACAGAGGGGCCCTAAAACTGGCCAAAAACACTACAGAAACCTCATTCTCACTCATACAAGTTAATTGAGTGGTATCAACAAATTTACAGACAACAATCAATCCATATTTACTTTCTACAGCAGTTATATACAATTGACGTCACGCTTCCAAAATTCATATTGCGTGAAAAATGCATGCTTGCTCACAGAAAACAATTGCAACAAGTGCCCTTTCTCATGGAGGGTTAATCAATACACACACACAGCATTTCAACCCTTTCTCAATGTACTCTGAAACACAAAGCAATCATTGTGGCTTCATTTACGTCTTTCTGCCAGCAACACAAAATGTACCCATCAGCAGCATGGAGCGGCAAAATGTTGACTTCCCGTTAAGCAAAACACTGCCATTATCTCCCATCTGTCATTATTTGAATTACTGCGTGTCTACAGGAGGAACTTTCATAATTTGCTGCACTAAAAATACTCGAAATGCTCATTTTGTCTTATTACATTGTGCTAGACATAATGTTCGAGCTGCCTCGTGTTTAATGAATCTCACTGGAGACCTGGTCACGGTTTACGAAAACCAAAGTACAGAGTTGACGTAAAAGGCCTTCAGACATCACAGGGCTGATCAAATTTTACTCAATGTACTCGCAAGTTGGTGAGCTATACGCTGAATAATGTGATTTGTTTGTTGAAATGAGCTACCTGACACCCGTGAACTCGCTGCTTTAGGCATTTGGAGATTGAAGTCGCGCAGAATGACTGGATTCGGAGTTGTTCCTTTCTCTCCGCTTTTGCCTTTCGGTTTCCACCGCAACATTTTTCTCCTTACATGAAGTCTGCTGTGGATTCAGCAGCTCGAACTTCATGTCCTCAAGAAAAATGAGTTTTGCATTTGTAAAATAAAATTAAAAGCTGTTTTTTGTATAGAGTGAGATCAGTCAAGTCTCTTATGTTATAATTTTAAATTACATATAAAGACTTAACAATAATGCTTGTAAAAATTGAATCTTACAATTCAGTTGGCATGTTTGGTTTGATGTAAATCTGTAATTCACAATAAAAGTGCCTTCTATTTATAGCGGGATGTATTGAATCAACAAAAAATATAATTTGACCAATTTTTGGTCATTTTTTGAAAGAGAGAATGCATTGTGCGCTTTTTATTATTTCTTCAAAACCCACGATTAAAAAAATTGTCTCTGCTGTAGTGTCTGGCACACATGACTGTGTTTGGATGTGAAATGCGTATGCGTGTGCATTGTTTCCACTTCATTGTGGCTAGGAAATGTCTCCAGGGCTTGCCCACCCAGACCCCTGTAACAGCTGCTGCAAACCCTGTACTGTGATAGTCAAGTGTGTCTCGGAAACAGTACAGATGATGAGGAAGCTTCAGTAGAACATCAGTGAACTACAGTCAGATGAGACCGTACAGTCTTTTGTCAGGTCATATGTCAGTAAAAAGAAATGTTCCTGTCCTGACAGCTGTTATACTGTGCTTGTAGCGTATGCTTTTCTATTGCATGCACAAATACGTCATCAATGAAACCAAGAGCATGCGTGTCAGATCCGCATCACGTTCAGCCACGGCAGCTCTTAAAGTAATAGCAGCCAAATAACCTAATAACCCAGCTGCTGTGATGTCTGTTAATCAAAGAACTTCCACTTCATTGTGGCTAGGAAATGTCTCCAGGGCTTGCCCACCCAGACCCCTGTAACAGCTGCTGCAAACCCTGTACTGTGATAGTCAAGTGTGTCTCCCCTCTTCTAGGAAAAACCTTTCCTGAAAAGCCTCTATAAACAGAGCAAAAACAATATCCAGTTTTAGTAATTTTAGTGAATTCAAAATCCTATGTTGATTTTTGTTATTATTATCTGTGACGTGTTTACCAAAAATGTATTTTGACACCAAAAATTTATTGTTTTTATTGTTTATGTTTGGAAATATGTAGTGTAGTTTAAGTATTTAGTTCATGTGTTGATACAGTTGAAAAACCACAAAAAACACAACTACTTTACAATTGGCCTCTTGCAGTGGGTAATTAAAATAACTACCATACTATCTGGATAAAAACCCACAATTATCGGATGACTATTTGCATTGTAAATCTGACAATGCATTAGGAAACAAAACAATACTGAAGTGTTTGTTCCTGTGGACAATGTTGGATTAATTATAATTTTGGTCTTGATGAAGAAATTTAGGTCTGTAATGAAATAAGAGAACATTATTTCACATTGTGCCTTTTTTTTCCCCTTACTCTCATTTTTGATTTCTAGAGAATGCAGCATGATTTTTGCTGCTTTTCGTTGAAGTGACACTGCAAATATAGTTAAATGTGTAGACTGTGTAGTCTGGTGTCATGGCTGTATATCCATGTGATATACAGTATATTTTGTATATTAGCTTTCACTTTTCATATTTTTCTCTGTGAAGTAATTGTACAGTTAAAATACTTTTTTTTATTATAAATAATTTACTTCACTATTATCAACAATTTAAAGTTCAACAAAAATAAACAAAAGGGCAAGTGTGCTTCTTTTAAGATGGTCACTTCTCTTGAGCGTTTAAGAGAAAAGGCCAGATTTAGAGCACATGGTTTCTCTTTCATATCAGAGCTTGCGTCCTGTTCCATTCCTCATACTTTTCTTCTGACACACGTTCTTTTAAAGATAATGCCAAAATGTTCAAACCAAAGCAAAAATTCTTCCCCATGCCAGTTTCCCTGAAGAACATTAAGTGTTGTAGCTCCCGCGAGGAAGCTTCATCTGCATTAGGTTTGACTGGCCCGCTTGTTTCTGTGTATTCCAGCTATAAAAACGAACAATTATGAGCCTAAGCCTTGTATTTTTTCCCCCTGCACAAACTTCACCTGGCTGTTTCACATTCCACCGTAAGCAGTACCAAAACAAGTCGTTCATTTTTGTGTGAAATGTTGTACACGTCCAGTTGCTCTGTAATCCAAGACAACTTCAACACTGCCCGGCTCAACTTTGACGCACTTCTCACAGGTCTTCATCCCCCCTGAGAAAAGTGGCCAGAAGCGCATTCACAACTTTGGGTCATATGATTACAGCAGGTTTGAAATTCACCTGACGTGATATAGAGCAAGCTGACCTTACTGACATGGCACTGATTCATTGTTCATCAATGCAGACCTAATACTTACATGCATTATCAAGAAGAACAATTTTGCTCTTCTGAACATCTTGGAAAATCGATCAGACATATTGTGAGTACTAAAATAAATCTTGGCAAGGTAAAGTGTAAAACTCTACGGCTAAAAGCACTGAAGTAAGAAGAGACGGAAACTCACAACTCTGCCTCGGCTTCGGAGAATTCACTGAAGAAGGTGCTTCCGTTGGAGTGTGGCTGTCCCGGTGACGGCTCCTCGCTCCTGTAGCTGCTCTGGCTGCTCCCGTCCTCAGGCAGTGTCTCTTGCGATATGGGGGGCTTCTGGAACGATCCAGGCATTCCTGGCTCTGCAGACCCCAAGAAGCAGGGGCATCGAGTCCGAAGCCCCTTGTAAAGGAAGTTCATTTTCAGAGAGGGTATCCAGGGACAGCCAAGAAGATTCTTGAAGGCCGCACGAAATTCTGGGCTTCGGCAGTAGATGATTGGGTTGAGGCCGGAGTTGATGTAGCCTAACCAGTTTAAGAAACGAAAAACGTTCAGGTCCAGCATGCTTCGACTGAAGACCTTAATGATGTTCACCACGAAGAAAGGCAACCAGCAGAGTGTGAAGACGCCCATTATGATGCCCAGCGTCTTGAGGGCCTTGTGCTCCTTGACGACGGTTAATTTCGACGGTCGCCTTCGCGAACTTTTCCGCCTTGCCAACGTTCCGCCGACGTTATTGCATGTCGAAGGCAAGTTGTTGTTGCCGTGGAGCGTCGGCAGTGCCTGATTTCCCATGCACTCGTTTTGGAATCTCAAACGGTTCTTGTCGATGAGCTGCACCTGTCGTGTGGCAATGAGAAAGACACGTGCGTAGACGAAAATCATGATAAGTAGTGGGATGTAGAACGAAACCACTGACGAAATGATAGCAAAGTACATGTTTATTTCTAAATCACAGCACTTGGGGTCTTCGTAACATTCTTGTGCTTTCTCGTCACCCTCCGCACGATAGTACTGATTCATAATGGGGACGAAGGAGATTAAAGCCGAGACCAGCCACACGACACAAACGATAATTCGAGCCCTGCACTTATTCAGAAGCAGTTTATACCGCAGAGGCCGCGTGATTGCAATATACCGATCCACCGCGATGATGCAAAGGGTCTCTATGCTGGCGGTTACGCATAACACATCAACCGATGTCCATAACTCGCACAAAGTCTTATTGAGTTGCCATTCCCCCGTTACGACTATCGTGGCACCCGGTGGCACTACCAGCACCCCCATTATGAGGTCAGCACATGCCAGCGACATGATGAAGATATTTGTCGTGGTCTGCAGCTGGGAGGTGCGTGCGATAGCGATGATGACCAGAAGGTTACCTACGACGATAATGGTGATGATGATCACCATGATGAACAGCTCCAAGGACTTCAACCCATGTCCTTCACTCCCTGGAGACGTCGTATTGATTGGTAGACTGCTGCTCACATTGGATGGTAGAGTGGTGCTTAGAGTTTCCATGTTTCAGTATTCAGAGATCAAGGCATGCAATTTTTCAAACTGAATATCAGAAACAAGCAGCAGCAAAGAGACATAGCTAGGTGCTGGAAACGTCTAAAGCAATTGAGATACCATGATGATGTTGCATTCAATCTTGCATTTTATACCACCGTATATCCAAATCTTGAACAACAGCATCAATTCTGTTTCACCTCTCCTTCAAGCATCCTGAAAGTCATGCACATCCCGCGTCCTGCAGCATTTGAAGCAAACATATCTGTCTTGTTCCACACATCTGAACTGCAGATGTAGGAGGGGAAAAAGTACCTTTCACTCGGAGTTAAAACTGGTCCATAAGAGATGAGGGAAAAAGCATTTGAACTTTTTGAAAAGCTCTTGAAACCACCAGAGAAAAGGCAGATAAGCAGCCGTCCTGTTGAAGTAGTCCGCTGAAGTGGAGGAGGTTCAGTCAGTGTGTTACCGCCGCGTGTGTGGAGCGGGCGAGTGGAGTTGCCTCTACTGCCAAAAGCTCAAAGGAGTAGTGACACTGCCGACAGTCAACAGTGGTAAAACACTCTCTCTCTCTCTGATAATGCTTGCTCGCTCTCTCGCTCTCTCGCTCTCTCTCTCTCTTTTGGAGTTGAGCGTTCAGCATGCTATAGTTGCAGTCACATTTCACCCGAGGGGTGGAGTTGTAAAGAGTGCCTCTCATACACGCACACCTCCTCTCTGTCTCTCTGTCCAACAAGTACTCAATCAGCAAACATAAAACACTTTTTATCTCATCTGCAATGCATCAGAAATAGACATACATACAATAATATATACCCCCAAAATAGTAATGTTTAAAGTGAAGTTAATCAAGGAAACAACATAAAAACCATGCATTCCACTGAAAAACTACTTTGTAACTATTTCCATCAGAAATTGCTAGTACATTTCACAAATATTTATAGAGAAATGGCAAATAACATTGAATTAGACGTAAAATTTTGAATATTTTTTTTGCAGTATAAAAATAAAGGTTCCAAAAGGAGGGGTTTCACAGCAGAAGAACCATTTTTGGGTCCCCTGAAGAACTATTTTTAAAAGAACCATTTTTTCTTAGTGAAGAACATTAATACTCAAAGGAATTTTCACTATAAAGAACCATTTGTGGAATGGAAAGTTTATATGGATGTTAAAGGTTTTTATGGGTCCATAGATGCCAATAAAGAACCTTAAACAAATGTGTATATATATATATATATATATATATATATATATATATATATATCTCTTAAAGTAATAGCAGCCAAATAACCTAATATCCCTGCTGCTGTGATGTCTGTTAATCAAAGAACAAAAGAAAAAAGAGGAAACCAATAATGCGATTAGTCACAATCACAATTAATCGTGATCGATTAATTTCAGAAAAAAATGTGCGATTAATTATTTTTTAGAGTCTAGAGAAGAGCATTTTGAGAAATAGTAAACTATATACATTATTAAATTTTACTTTACCTGTTAGTGATGTCTTAATAATTTAATGTATGTTTAAATAAATATTTTATGAAACAAGTTATGACAGCCACAGTGTAAATTATTCTATTTCAACAACTAATAGAAATTGTATAATTTAGAAGTTAATTTAAAAACGCCATTATGTGCAATTTACATGTTTGCATATACATTTTTTATTTGAGTGTTGATTATTATAGTTAAAAATAAATAGTAATTGAATTTAAGTTTGGGCTCTGTTGTTAATTGTAACCTTAGAGTAATGTAAAAAGGCTCCCATTGGTTTAGAGCAGAAGCCAAGGTAGATTTTTATCCCTAAGAAAATTTTAATTGTAATTGAATTTATTTAAAGAAAAAGCAATTTGTTCAGTAAATGCATTGTTTGATAATAT